ACCAAGCCCATGTGCTGCAACTCCTGAAGCCCATGAGCCCTCCAGACCATGCTCCGCGACTGGAGAAGCCAGCACAGTGAGAAGCCTGTGCGCCGCGATGGAGAGTAGCTCCTGACCACCATAACTAGAGAAAAGTCCACACAGCATCAGAGACCCAGGATAGCCAAAAATAAATAAAGTATTTTTAAAACAGGAGCTTCGCAAAGGAAAAAGTGAGACAACTGATAAAAGGCATTGTTAATATTACTGCTGGGACTTCCAGGGTGGTCCAGTGGTTAAGAATCTGCGCTTCCATTGCAGAGGGCATGAGTTCAGTCACTGGTTGGGGAACTAAAATCCTGCATACCGCATGGTATGGTCAAAAAATAAATAAATAAAAATAAATTTAACTACCTTTAAAAAAAAGATATTACTACTGTGCCTATCATTATGCCACTGGATGCTCTTTTCCAAATAGAATCTGGTATGACCTCAGTGGTGCCTAAAGCTGGCAGAATGATGAGAAGAGACCAAGAGTTCAGGGCAACATCTAAATTCTCCAAGTGGCCGAAACCAAGGTCAACAGTGACTGGCCCTCTACATGGTCAACCACTGAAAACTGTGCAGCTGGCCATCTGAAAGAGGCCAAGGAAAGGGCCAGGCAGAACCTGAGGGCTCAGTGACATGGTCATGCACTCTAGACTTGGCCTGGGGAGCTTCTGAACTCCTGAGTGCATTGACAGGGTTGGGACCACCTCTGGGGTTCCTGAGCATGCCTGCAAGAACCAGGCAAGAGCTCCTCCTGTGTGTATGCAGGACACACAGTGCTGATCCGAGGGTTTGTCTGCAGGAGATCCAGAGGTTCCTAGGAAACCAGATCCCACTCTGATTCTGTGGCACTTTAATTCAGAAACATATTAAGACCAGGCTGGGAATTCCCTGGTAGTCCAGGGTGTCAGGACTACTCGCTTCCACTGTAGGAGGCAAGAGGGTTCAATCCATGGTCAGGAAATTAAGATACCTCAAGCCACTCAGCATGGCCATAAAAAAGAAAAAAGATTTAGGCTCATAAACCTGGGGAGACTGAGGCCCACGAGGGCTGTGTTGACTCCTAAGTCAATCACATTATTCAAGATCATCGTATCACATGTACATAACTCTGAGACAGAGACTGCACCTGGCCTAGTTCAGCTGGTCCCCAGATCAGATCCAGACAAGGTGACATGCAGAACAGGCCCAGCCTTTCAGGGAGAGAAGGAGACAGAACAGAGATCAAGTTTAAACAAAGTGTTCGTTCACTCAGTCGTCTCCGACTCTTGAGACCCCATGGACTCCCCTGTCCACAGAATCCTCCCCAGGCAAGAATACTGGAGTGGGTTGCCATTCCCTTCCCCAGGGGATCTTCCCAGCCCTGGGACTGAACCCAGGTCTCCCACATTGTAGGCAGATTATTTATCATCTGAGCAACCAGGGAAATTTAGAGAAGAGTCGTCCAACCTTCCCCAAGAGACCCTCCCTCCCTCAGACATTGTCTTCTGAGATGTGAGCCTGCTGGGGAGGTTTTAGAATCCAGCACTTGCTCCTGCATCTGCCTAGAGACAAATCTGCTTATCCAGCAGGCCCTCTGATTGTTCTGACTTCCTTCCTTATCCTTTAGGCAGGTAAGCCCCACTTGATTTACCCAGGTAGCATCTCTGTGTGGGCCTTCCATCAATCCATCAGACTACATCTGACACTGCTTTTACATCTCACCATGCACTGCAGGGACCATAGCTTCACAAAGTTTCACTCCAACTGTCTGTCACCCCGACAGGCTCCCCTCTCCCCAGCTTGGAACCAAGTCACAAGGAAAGCACACTGGTGTGATTCTATCACACCCCTTCCTGCCTGCCTCCCTTCCCTGCTCTCTCCCCCTCCTTCCTCTCCGTGCCCTTCTGCCCATCACCTGCCGCCCCTGCCCCCAAGCAGAAAAGCGACTACAACGGCAAGCAGGTACCTAACCTTTCCAACGCTATGACCTACTGGCTTAGCAACAAAATAAAATAAATCCTCTAGACTGTTACTTCATCATGTGCATCACTATCACATCCACAGCCTCCTGACATCAAAATCTCCCACTCTGATTGTTTTGTCTTGACTTTTTTGTTTGTGTTATGCTGGCAGCTTTACACAAGAGAACAGTAGGAAATTGGGAAGCAGCACCCTCATCCTGGAGGTCTGAGAGAGAGAGGGAGAGAGGCGAAGCCTCCTGAAAGCGCGTCAGATCGGGAGCCAGGGGCTGCCAGGGAGGAAAGCACGCGGGAACATTCTCTCCATCGCTGATCTCCTCGGACCCCACAGCTTTCCACCCAGGGCCCAGCCCCAGGCTCCAGCCTCTGGGGCGGCGGCAGCCCACTTTCCATCCTCAGTCAGTAGCACATTCTCCCGTGTCAGCAGCCCAGGGCATGACGCTGAGGATGCCAGGACGGGCGCCTCACCATCACAAGCTCAGAAGAACGGCAACATCTTTTGCACCACCTCCCAGCCAACTCAACCCCTCAATGGCAGGGCCGTGGACACTACACCGTAAAACTCAGAGCCGCGAGGGCGAAGCAGAGACAAGACCCAAGGGAGACAGGGGGACACTGAGGGTCCAGCCCTCACCCTCTTGATTACTAAGTGCCAATCACGGCTCCAGGGATTTCCAGATGTTACTTCGTTAATTCAGCACCCCACCCTGCAGACCACCTCCATTTTAAAGAAAGTAAAGCAAGACTCAGAAAGGTTACATAACGTTGCCAAGCTCTCAGTGCTAGACATGGCTAGTTCTGTTACCCATGCTCTGGTGGGGAGGGCGGGTAGAACACAGCCAACCCTCCAGCTCTCCCCAGAGGAACAAGGGTCCCACAGAAAACTCCTGGGAGAGTAATATCTTTTGCAGCCCTCTCAGGTAAAGAGACGCAAAAAGGACCCAGGAAGCCAGGGAAAAAAAAACCTCCTTTTCAGGGAACAGGAGTTGGGGGAAATGGGAAAAGGTAGTCAAAGGTAGTCAAAAAATAAATGAGTCCTGGGGTTATAACACACAACATGAGGACTATAGTTAACAACACTGCATTACATAATGAAAGTTGCTAAAAGAGTAGCTCTTAGAAGTGCTCAAGAAAAAAAATTCTCAGACTATCTAGAGTAATGGATTTTAACTAAGTCGACTTATCATAGTGATCATTTCATAAAATATTCAAATACCAAATCATTATATACCTGAAACTGTTATACGTCAATGATATATCCATTTTAAAATTACTTTCCACTATACCCCATTTCTCAGAGCACATAACTGAGATAATTCACATCCGGAGAAGGCGATCAACGTATCTGGTCAAGTTTGGGGAGAGGGTTTCCTCTTTAGGAAAGTGTGAGCAAAACCAAACACAACCTCGGTCTGTTTCTGAGCAGTACAGGCATCACGAAGACACACCTTAGTGGCGGTTATTTTTCGCACCCAACCGGAAGAGAATCAGCTACGTGGAGCTCAGCGGCACTTTCCGCAAGGTAAGTCTCAGAAGACCGGATTAAGCAGTGTTGGAGGAGGTTCCGACTCAGCTTGGTGGAATCAGATGACCTCCAGGTGCCTCCAACTCCATGTCCCCACCTCCTCTCCCCCACACCCCCTCCTGAATGGTCAACAGAAGAATTGGGGAGGGGGGGCAGCAAGAAGAGGAGTGCAAAACTGAAGAATCCACCCAAGATCTGAGGCACAGCAGGCAAGAGAGTGTGCAGGGAAATGTTACCACAGATGACAAAGAGAAACTGGATTTCTTGACACCCCTCGCCTGACCCAGGAACTGGAGGGTAATGTGATGGGCACATCACACTCACTACAGAGTCCCTCTGTGTTTACTCCATTTCCGATGAGCAATTTCAAAACCCTCCGTTCTGCAGACAAGACACTTTTTCAGACTGAATAACTCCGAAAGGCAGCAAAGTGCAAGAAGGTTAACCTGAATTTGAATCCAGCTCTACCTCTCAGTATCTACATGACCCTGGGAAAAGGTCTTATTATCTCCCTATGGACAAGAACATCATCTACTTGGGAAAACTGCCATTAACAAAAATATGACCCCACGAAAAGCACTTGAACCAGGCACATCATAAAAGCTATTTCACAGAGAAGGAAACAGAAGCCAGAGGGAAGCCGATGCTGGCCCAAAGTGGTATTAAATTCAATGTGAGTAAGGATGGGTTAAGAATAAGACTGCAAGCTGCAAAACCAATGTCTCTCATACACATCCTTCTCCCTTGAATTTAAATCAGCTCCCCCGAAATGTGTTTACAGGGACAGAGAATGAAAAGGGAGAGGAAGCAACATTCCTGGTGATGAAGGTTCACCAGGAACAACGCTTGGAACCTGCAGCTGCTCTGGGGTCTAAGCAGACTCCAGCCCTTCCCCTCCTCCCGAGCTGCAGACTCGCCGGCCTGGGCAGGAACCACCGCAGGGGAACTCAGGTACCTGAAACCCGGCAGAGTGGCCAGACCCCGGCCATGGGCCCCTCCTCCTCACCCCACCTTTCCCTCCCTCCACTTTAGGAGTCTCTCCAGGCAGAGGAGAAGCGACCCAACAGCAGGAAAATCAAAACGGGAGCCCAAGTGAAACAGAGCAGAAAGAGCTTAGTGAAGACTCTGGGCGAAAGGAATTCCCTGGCAGTCCAAGCTTTCGCTACCGAGGACGCAAGTTCAATCCTCAGCCGAGGAACTAAGATTCTATAAGCCACTTGACATGATCAAAAAATAAATAAACAAAAATCATAATTTTTTTTTTCATAATTTTTTTTTTAAAAGAAACTGGGCACATAAGTTCCCCCTTGTTTAGGAAAGACCCGAAGTTCTCTCAACACACCTGTAAAGTGCCCCCCACAGATGATTTTTCACAAATAGCAAAGAGAACAAGGGAGCCAGGCCCCAAGACTAGAGGACAGCTGAGAACGAAGGTGGGCCCGGGGCCAGAAATTCAGGCTGGGGGTGACGGGGGCAGAGGGGCCTACCTGTGCTGCTCCACGGCCTCGTTGTCAGGAAGCTCCACGCCGCACACACTGCACTGCTCCCCAACAGTGCGGCTCTCGGCCTTCATGCCCACAGCCAGCTCCCCCAGCTTGCTGAAGAGCTCCCGCTGGATGAAGCCCTGGGGCAGCAGACCCCCGTAGGTGCTGAAGTCCATGGAGACAGCCAGGGCGGGCTGCACGTGGAGGCCGGAGGTCACCGAGGACGGCATGCTCAGCACAGCATCGGCCTTGTGGTTGGGCAACACGGGGTAGAGGCCCAGGTGCTTCTCAGCCAGGGGCGCAGGGGGCTCCAGTCGGCCGGGGGGCCCCTGGCCGGCCTCGACCGGAGGCGGCAGCTGCTCAGCACTCTCCTCACGCCCGTAGTGCAGCTCCCGGGCGCTGGTGATGACACTGCTCCGAGTAGGGGTCCCGGGCCCCTCCTTGCCCCTTTCCTCCAACTTGTCCCCCATCCCAGCTGAGATGCTAGACTCCGCGGCCCCAGGGCTTTCCTGGCCGGGCACCTCATCCACCTGCATCATCTCCGGCTTCACCTCGGCCACTGCAGGGTGCCGCCCACCCCCAGCCAGGGTCGGCTCCTCAGGCCCAGCAGGCGGCTGAAGAGTCCCCTGCAGGAGAGACTGTCCTATGGTCATCAGACTGTCCACCGCTGCCTTGGTGGGGCTCATGGCTGAAAGGCCAAATGAGGTGGAGACGGAAGGGCTCTGGTCCACCATGGGCCCAGGGAGGCTCTGGGCCGCCACACTGGCACAGCCACTCTCCTCGCTGGAATGCTTCGAGATGAAGATGTTCTTCAGGTAGCGCGCCCTGCGGTCCTCTTCCTCCTCGGCCCCGCCCTCTGCCATGGTGGCCTCCGTGTCATTCTCATCTGAGGCCTGGATGGTCTCCAGGATCTTCAGGCACTGCTCCTCCAGGTACTCGATCTCCAGGATCTCGGCGGCATACAGCAGGTCATCCAAGTCCTCCGCCTTGGCCTGCAGCGTGGCCGTGTATGCATACTCCAGAATCTGCTGGAAGGTCTTGGGAGACAGGAAGTCCAGAGTATAGTGCTGGCTGTTGCGGTGGAAGAGGATCTCAAACATCTTGCTGGTGCAGGCCAGCACAGTCCGGTGGGCATGGAACTCCTGGCTGTCCACCATGATGACCACATCGCACAGCGTCCCGGCCAGCCGCATCTGGTTGGCCTTGCACAGGAGCCCCGTGGGGTGGCTGGGGTTCTGTAGCTGGATCATGCCCATCTTTGTCAGATCCATGGTGCTCCCCGAGGCTTAGGCATGAGGCTCTCTTTCCTTCCTGGCTCTGCGTGGTGGGGCAGGGTGCGTTTCCTGGGCCAATGGGGAGGGCTAGAGGGGAGAAATCGGGAAAGAGGCAAAAGAGATGCAAGAACAAAAGATAAATTAGTTACTGTCCCTAAAAGTAAGAATTCAATCAATAGCCCCTGACCCAAACCTGCAGCAAGACAGTCCTGGAGAGTTTAAGAGAAGGGAAGGGCTTTCTAGAAATCTACATGACTGCCTTTACAGGCCCAAGGATGATGGAGAAGGTTCTGCTACATAGCACATGCCTAATTCACTGGTCTATGACATCTGTTAGAAGAAGTAAAATGAAAATTACAGTGAAGTCTTGTGAGTCCTGAGCTTTCTTTAAGTCTGAGGGTGGGGGGCTCCTGTGCAAAGTCAACAATGATTGTGAGAAGATGCCCAGTGCTTAATTTAAATGAGTAAGAATTTAACCCCCTCTTCTAGTCAGTGTGAGCACTCAATTTCACTTTCAACCCCTTGTGCAGCAAATCTCATCTTCAAAACGAAGTTTCTCTAAATCCTGCCTCATTGTGGTAGCCCCAGGAACAACGCCCAGCCTAGCTAGGGCTAGCAGCCTAGAGTCACAGCTCAAAGAAATCTACAGGCAAGGTTCTCCTCCTCCAGCCCACCTTTTCACCCTCAGTTAATGCCTTCCTGGGCCTCTGCCCTTCCACTCTTCTCAGGGTTGCAAAGGACTGATGAACCCACGCCCTGACCCTCTCCTTAGGCCCTAAGAGAAATACACACACATAGTCTATGTACTAGCTTGGCTCACTTCCAATCATGGGTGCCTCAAAGTGATTGTATAAGTAATCCAAAATCTCAACTGTGTCGTGTGCACGTATGTGTGCATGCACCAGCCAGAGAAGCAGAAACAGCACACATGCGTGCATGCATGCTCAGTCGTGTCCAACTCTTTGAGACCCCATGACTGTAGCCTGCCAGGCTCCTGACCAAGGAGTTTTCCAGGCAAGACTACAGGAGTGTGTTACCATTTCCTCCTCCATCGAATCTTCCCCACCCAGGGGTTGAACCTGTGTCTCCTGCATCTCCTGCACTGGGAGGCGATTCTTTACCACTGCACTACCTGGGAAACCCCAAGTACACATGTCCACACTTACATAATGTGCCGCACTTATATAATGTGCCGCACTTAACTCCTGCCCACAAGTGCCCAGTAGTGAGGAGGATTTGTAATATGCAGGCTAGGTACTGAAGGACCTACAGAGAGATCCTAGGAAACATGCACCCCTAAAGCCAGGAGTGCATGTGCTGGGAACACAAACTCCCAGTGTGTCCCACAGGCTCCCGGGAGTGGGCAAGTCCCATGACCCAAAGAAGAATTGATGCCAGACTGCTAGACCTGGCTCAGAGGGGTGAGAGGTGATATTGGCACCAGCATCTATGGTGTGAGTTACCAGCATGAAGGGAAGACTGGGCTGGAGACAAAGGCCTCTCTCGAAGTGCTGTTTGGGATCAGTAACAGGGCTCTGGGTCTCCCAAACCTGTCTAAAGCTTGTCTGAAAGACCTCACAGGCCCAGGTCCCTCCCAGCCTCGGCCTTGCTGTGGCCAACACTGCTGTGAAATCAATTGGAAGCAACGCAGAGCAAGGGCTCTTCCTCTTGGAATACTGCTGGCCTCCACCCCCAAAAGGAAACCTATTGACTCCAGAGCCACAAATCTTACTTAGAAAGGGTTAACAGGACGGTCAATCAAGAAGACACTTTTGCTCCCCACCCTGGGGTGGGAACGGAGGCCGTGGTGGGGGGCGGTGAGCATTCCCAAGTGCCTTGGCACCATGCGCTTTCCCCGCAGACTTCGGGTTTCAGAGAACTAGGAGTTAGGAATCGAAAGAATGGAAGCTGGTCTACCCGAATTCCTTCCCCAAAACAAGCACCGTGGGTCCTGAGGGAAATCAGGGTGCCCTGATCAGCCGTCCCTGAAACCCGCGGCTCGGCGCCCGGGAGCCTGCTAGTGCTGGCTGCAGCGCCGTGCCCCTCGTCACGGCGGAAAGCCAGCGCTAACCAGCTCGAGCTCCGGGAATCGATCGCGCGCTAACACCTTCCCGCCCCCCACCCCCCACCCAGTTCCCAGCCACCCCCCACGGAGACTTGGAGACGACTTCAGCAAACTTGGGGAAGCAACTTTTCTGGGGAAGCCAGATGGCAACAAGAAAGGGAGCCGGGTTAGGAAAGAAGAAAAGCGAAAGAGACCCGGGCGAAAGGCAAGCGTCCAGGCGGGCCGGACGCCGGGGCGAGAGAGGCGAGAAGGCGGACTCGCCTTGAGGCGAAGGGGAAGCACAAAAGCCCGACGAGTTGTGGGAGGAAAGGCAAGAAGGGATCTGAAGGCGCTCTCTCTCCGACCCAGGGAGGGGATCCCCGGGAGCGGCGGGCAAGGTCCCCGGCCTCGGGCGGGTGGCGCCAACAGCAGGCGCACCCGGCCCAGGCACGTTGCGAGCGTTCCGGGGAGCGGCCAGCGAGTCGGTGCTGAGCGCGTCTGTGCGTTCCAGCGGGTCCGCGGGCCGGCGAGACCGTGCGCATTTCGAGCACGTGAGGGAGTGTTCGAGGGGCTGTGAAAGCGAGCTGTTGGCGCGCCGGGGTGGGAAAGGCATCCCGAACGCATCAGGTGCAGAGCGGAGCACCCACCGAGCGCGGCCGGGAGCGCACAGCGAGCTCCGGCGCCACGGCCGGTCCCGCCGAGAGCCGAAGAGGGCCCGGAGCGCTGGAGACACTCCAGCGCTCCACCACCGAGCCCCTCCCCCCCCCAAAACCGGGGGGATCAAGTCCAATCAAGAAAAAGGAGCCCACCACGTTTTTCAGAGAGAAACAAAACCCAAGTGAGTCCCAGTCCGGCTCCCCTCCGCCCCCCAAACCACTCCTCCGATCCTCCGATTCTAGCTTCCCAGCTGGCGGGCGAATAAACACACAAATAAACCACAGCCCTATCTCGCGCCCGCGCACCGGTCGGCATACATATGAGCACCCACAGGCTCCCGGCTCCTCCGCCGGCCCCTGCTGGTACAAAGCCTCCAATTCCCAGCCCTCCGCTTGTGCCTCCCGGCCCCGCAGACCGCCCTGGCCCCCACCTCTCACCCCGACTGTGCCCTGGAGTGGAAGGGTTGGGGAGGCAACTGCGCCCAAGCTGACAGCCAGGGCTCTCCCTTCCAACCGACCCCCAACCGCCGGCGGCGACGGCTGCAGCAGCAGGAAGGAGACAAGCCGAATAAAATAAGGCAGAAGCCCAGCGGTCGAGTGGCCGAAGCGAGCGCGCCCCCCCAGACCTCTCCAGCCCTGGGGCGCCCGGGCGCACAGCTATGTCTGGGCGGTGCGCCTCTCCCTGGCCCCCAACTCACCACTGCCGAGCCGGGTGCCGTGGGGTGGGTGTGCGTGCCTCTTGGGGGTGTGTGCCTCTGTCGGGGAGGGGTGTTGCTGGGGAACTGTTGCTCTCGGTATCACGGCGGTAGCGGCGGCATCGCCCGGCAGTTCGCAGTACCCGCTCTCATCGCCCTCAACTCCTCTGTGCTGCGAGGTTAGCAAATCACCACCGGCTGCGGCGCCTCCGCCGCGTCCCACGTCAACGCCGAGCCCCCTCCCCTGCGAGGCCCCGGCGCCTCTCCATCTTTAGTGCTGGCGGCCGAGCCCGGCTCCCTGCCCACAGCTGCCCCCCTTCCCTCCCCCCTCCCGCCCGTCTCCCCGCTCCGCCCGCCCACCCCCCCGCACTGGCCGAGCCCGCGCGCGCTCTCCGCCCCACCCCTCCCCTCCCCTGCCGTCCCCTCCCTTCCCCGTGCGCCGCGCTCCGGGCTTCGCCTGACATCTAGCTGCTGCCGGGGCGCTGGCGGCCGCCGCTCACCCGCCAAGCGGCGAGAAGGGGAGCTCGTGGAGAGGCGCACCAGGGACATGGGCGCCTCAGTGGGGGCAGTGGAGATAAGGGGCGAGGAGCTGCCCCCACCTTCAACCCCCAGAATGTTAATCTCCAGTGGGAACAGGTTTCGTGTTTCCCTGCTGCTTCCAGGCTCGGGATTTTGGTCTCCCAGCGTTTGCCCCAGGAGTGCGTGTCATCTCGCCTTTCACTTTTTTCTCGGGGCTTGGGACGACACCCCTGGACCCCGGCGTCAGCTTTAGAAGGCCGTTTTCGCAGTGCCCATACCCAGCGCTTTGGGGCCTCCAGGCTGCGATTCGCCTCCAGGTGCAGAGTCCGCGGGCCCGGGTGAACCGAGTGCCAGAGGCCCCCGCGGGGCTCTGTCGTCGAGGGGAGGCGCCCCCGTTTTAGCTGTCGCGACCCCTGGAGGCCAAGGTCGAGGCGCGAGGGAAACTTTTCTTCCCTGTCTTGTGCATCCCCTGGGCTTCCCCCACCCCTCCTTTCTCCGCCGTCCCCCTTCCCCCAGCCCCCGTCCCCTCAGGGAACCTTGGCTGGGGGCAGTTCCGCAAGAACTGCGCTCAGTTCGGGACAAAGTCTTCAGGGGGCGAGTGAGAGCCTGGAGAAGGCTCCCCAAAGTGCCTCCTCTCTGCTGACCGCTCCACTCTAGAGGGCGGAGCTGAGGTCAGGAATCCCTAGAGCAACCAGAAGACACGCGCCCTTCCGCGGGCTGCGGAGAGCCCCGGTCTTCGCCCTTTCCTTGGAACTTGGCGAAGGTGGTGGGCGCGAGGTGGAAAACGCCCTTCTCCTGGGCACACACCTTGACTTCCGGCTAGGGTGAGGGTGGTGGTTGAGAGCGCCCTCGCTGGGTCTCCAGACAGTTGGCTCTGGAGGTCATACAATCTTCTCAACGCGGGGCTGCAGTCACTGAACCCGGGGTCCCCACACTCAGTCCCTGACAAGCGGGTGGGTCAAAGGTTTCCCATCGGACTCACGCATGAGCATATCCCGATGCGCCCTCTGGCACTGCCCCAAACCGAGGGTCAGGCCCCAAGAACTGAAGCGTCTTGGAAGGTGGCAGAGGCCCGCTAGAGGC